TGTTCTGGACCTCAGATCTTCAGGAAGTTAACCCTCTTGCTTCCTCTTGGCTATAGCTTCCTTTCCCTTGCTAGACAACACCTCCAAGGTCGACAACGGCTCCTTCTCTCACTCCAAACGCTCAAGTTCACTAGTGTTTCGTTCTGAGGGGCTGGTGAGCACAAATGACGGCCATAAGGCCCTTTAAATAAGCCCCAAACCCGAGATATTAGGGTTTCATTAAATGGCCCGGACTCGCTGAGTCCACCAATGCGACTTGTCAAGTCCGGTCATTAATCCGGGTGAGAAATTGCGTCTCTACTAGGCGAGTCTACGAACCAACTCGCCGAGTTCTTCAAAAAAAACTCAAAATAAAATGAATAAATATAATACCTGAAATTCCGGATGTTACATCATTATTCTTGATCTTCTTATTAGATTAGGATAAGTGAATTGTTGTTGAGGATAGTGTAGTATTTTTGTAGTGAGGTTTATATTGTAAGTTGTGAAAACCACCTGTCTGTTAATCCTCAAATGATATAATAGATGGTGATGTTGGGTATCTTGAATTTTTAGTAGTTTTTACAGACTCTGATTCACGTCATCGATGGTAGTGGTCGCCCCGACTCATAATGTTTCTGTGATGTTTGTTGTGCGCCAATTTTGATGGAATGCATCATGGTTACACCATGAAAAAACTGGATTTCGGGTTTTATAGGAAGAGGGGAAGAAGTGAGGGTCTTTCCAGGGACTCTAACGAGGGTCAGTAAACGCCGACGATAATGGAGGGATGTGAGAAGAAGACTAAGAGAGGTGCAAAGATGGTAACGAGAGGATAGCAATAGGAGGTCTCTGGCGGGTCTTTAGCCTTTTGGGTTATACTTTTTATTAAGTAATAATAAAACAATTTGATAATAAATAAATGACAAAAATGTTTAAATAAATAAATAAGGGTAGAAGAGTCATTTAAACTAGGTGAGAGACAAAAAAAAGCAATAAAAACACATCTTCGGATGGTTCTGATTAAGAAAAAGAATTAAGGGTAAATTTGCAAGTTAACCCAAACCATAGAGACTATTCTTGTAATTTACACAATATAAAATTAGATATTTAACGATTATTATACTTATCTTTTGGGTAATATGTGAGGTCAGGAAAAAAACATTTTAAGTAATCATTTTGTCTGAATCATGCACATTGAAAACACATTTCCTTTATTGCACGTCGAAGCACATTTAATGCAATCGGCGCTTATAATTGAAACAACCATTTTCTAACGCGATTCAGAATTTTTATCCGACCCGATCTGACGTTTTATTTTCTTTAATAAACTGCCGCTTCCATTTCTTTCAACTTTTACGTGCCTATTGCTCTCTTTCTTTTTCTTTCTAGTTCTCTAAACCATTCGAAAAATTGTGAAACCTTTAAAATCATTATATAAAATTGCAAGAATGGTCCTCGTGTTATGTCCAAAATTGCTACATAGGGCCAAACATGTTTGGACTAGCACTAATAGTCCAAAAGTTTTCATTTTCTTTCGGTTTTGGTCGAAATCAGTTAAAAAAATCTAAAAATGACGGGTTTTCCCTTTCCCATTTGTTTTTTGATTTTTCTTTTTCTTATTTAATATTTTCTAACTAAAAAAATAATAAAATAAAATCTCTCTCTCTCTCTCTCTCTCTCTCTCTCTCAAACACACAAACCCACATTCTCTCTTGATCCTAATCCATGAAATCCTCCCGATTCCAATAACTATTGCACTAGAACCCGTACCTAAACCCACCCACAAAACATTGTTTAATTCTTGACTCTGCTTGATCACATCTTCCACCCGATGGATTATCAACTCTGTTTTAGGCGTTGGAATCAGAACACCTTCTTCGACACTTCGAACCAAATCCTCCGATGGTCACATCCTGTAATATATTGAAACAATTTTCTCTTTTCAATCCCTTGTTTCCATAAAGAGTAAAGATCACCCAAATAAGCTCTTAATCGCAAAACAATGTTGTGTTTGGATTCGTTGACGGTTAGTAATGATTTTGGGTTTTCTAGAGCATCTTCAATCAAAATTGAGTTCTCTGTGTAAAATTTTGGAGTCTGGGCCGTTATCTAAATCTGTGAAAGATGAACCAATAGATGATGCTAGGGTTTCCGCCCAATTCTACCATTGATACAAGTCGGATAAGGTTCCGTTGAAGGTGTGTGGTCGAAGAAATATGGAGATGTTAGGGTTTAAGTGGGAAACGAAAACTAATGCAGAACAATAAATAGGTTTGAACGAAATAGAGCGATTGAGGGTTCTTGATGTGAATGTAGTTGAGAGAGAAGAGAGACGTGCCAAGCTCGAGAGATTTAAGATCCAAATGAAATCAAGCTTGTGAAAATATGTGGGGTTTGCTTGAAATCGCAAAAGAATGCTCGCTTTCTATTTATGGAGGGTGAGAAGTGAGTGGGGTTTTGGAGTTTATGATGAAGTGAAGAAGGGGGAGGAGATTAAAATGGTGTGTTCTTTTCAGGAAGAAGACGTACGAGAGAGAGAGAGAGAGAGAGAGAGAGAGAGAGAGAGAGAGAGAATTTCTAAAATGTCATTTTTAGTTAGACAATAATCGAATAACAAAAAGAAAAAGCAAAAAAGAAATAGAAAAGGGCAAATCTGTCATTTTTAGATTTTTTTTAAACTGATTTGGACCAAAACCACGGTAAAATGAAAACTTTTGGACTATTAGTGCTACTCCAAAACTGTTTGGCCCAAAGTAGCAATTTTGGACATACCACAGGGACCATTCTTGCAATTTTGTCAAATTGTTAATAGTTACTTCATCTTTTCCTGCTCCTCCAAAACAATACAAAATTGCATTGTACAATTAGGGGTGAGAATTTCGTCTAGAAACCCGAACCGAATTATACCCGAATAAGCAATTCGATTTGGTTTTTGGGATAATCATATTAATCTTATTTTGTTCTCGAGTTATTCGGTCCAGGTTACCCAAATAAAAGCTTACTCAGTTTTAAATACATGACATGGAATTGAAAAATCATTTTCGAATTGTATTTTTCTTTCGACACCGAATGACCTACATTCAATCGATTTGATCATGTTTCCCTTGTCCCTCCTTCTGTGAGTCTTAAAATGAAAAAAAAAACCTATTGCATCGTAACACCGAAGTCGACTTCCTACCCAATCATATTATTGAAGTCGTCTTCCTGCTAAATCATTTCTATTTAAAAACTGAGTGTCGATCCTTCCTCTCTAAGGATTCACGAATTTCTATCTTGTCTAGTCACGAAAAATTTGGTTCCAAGTCAAGAAACTCATGTAAGAAAACAAGGAGAGTAGTTTTAGAACTTGAAAACATGATGAGAAAAGAATAAAAAAAGCATTGTTAAACTTATTTGTAGTTGCAGAATTACCATTCAAGTATGTAGAGAATGAATCATTTATTGAGTATACTAATGCATTGAAAGAGAGTTAATTCATGTTTACATTCTTACTACTCAAATTCTAATTTTTTTTGCACATTTGAAACAGTTATATATATATATATATATATATATATATATATATATATATATATATATATATATATATATATATATATAATATACTTTGCATTATTCTTAATTAACTAATTTGTTTATTTAAAATATTTGTTATGGAATCATAAGTGACTAAAGTCATAAAAAATATGATGTCTATAATCATATTGTAAATGTTATTCTGGTTATAGAATCTTAATACGGTTTGTTCAGTTCTTTTCACTTATATTAGGTTTTTAAGCAACTTGTACATATTATTTGAGTAATAACCGAATTGGACCCGTATTTGTTATTTGGTCTACTTTTCTATTCATGCAATTACCCTTATTCGATTTTTGGGTTATTCGGGTTTGGATCGGTTCGATCCGGTTCTGACCCAAATAACATCCCTACCTGCAATTATTTAGCACAAATGAAACAGAATTAGAAGCATCTCCCAATTAATGGTAAAAAGGTTATTATAAATTAAGTTAGAGCCAAATAAAAAAGGTCATACTTTAGACACACCACTCTACTAAGATCTTACTTTGGACACACCACTCTACTAAACAATAATCTAATATACATAATCTAATCATTAACATTAATAAATTATTACTTACATTGTTTTCTGAAAAAGTTTTTTTTTTCTTTTTTTTGTTCTCTTTCTCTCTCTTATATATATATATATATATATATATATATATATATATATATATATATATATATATATATATAACAAATAGTTTTTTTTTACTTCAATAACCTTCCAATATAATATGTATTTAACTCAATATTTTTTTATTTTCAAACTTTCATATTAATATACCAAAATACTTTTACAATTATAGAATCATAAATAAAACTAAAAATAATATATATATATATATAATATATATATATATATAATATATATATTATATATATATATATATATATATATATATATATATATATAGACAAAACTGCAAAAATGGTCCCTGTGGTATGCATTTTTTGGGGTTTTAGTCCAAACAGTAACTTTTTTGGTTTCGTAGTCCTTTTGGACTACTTTCATTGTAGAATTGGTCCCTGATAATCTTGAAAAGACTATATTGCCCTTTTAATTTGTTTTTTCCATTTACATAAATACTTCTTTTCTTTTATTTAATTATAAATGTTAAATCAAATCAAGAATAAGACCTCTCTCTCTCTCTCTCAGTTGGGGATTTGGCAATGGCTGATCGGAAGAAAAAGAGGCACGAAATTAAAACATCCAAACACCTTCATCCAAAAATCAAACCAAGTGATCATGTATACAAGATTCCTAAAATCGTATCAATCACTTTAAAAACAAACTAACAAACATCCAAACACCTTCATCCTAAAATCAACAAAATCAAACAGCAACTGAAATCCCACTTCTGCCAAAACACACTCATAGATACTTATGCAATGTCGAACCAGAACCCAAATCCCACTTAAGTAATCAAAAAAATTAAAACCCATATCACCATTTTGGATCAATTGCAGAGAATGACCCTAGTAAGAGCAAGAACCAAACAAGAAACAGTGAAGAAAAACAGAGTAACAGAGTCTCTCGTTGACCATTTCTTCACTTCTTTACCTTCAACCCTCAAACTTTTAGCCCTTCGAAGTGCATCAACTTCCTTCAACAAATCAAAACTCCAAACCTTTTTCTTCAATTCCTCCACACACTTCCCCAATAACTTCCCATCTTCTTTCTCCCTCTCCAGTAATTTCTCCAGATGTGATTTTGTGTTTGTCTTGTAACGAAAAATCCAGATTAATCCCAGAGAACAGAGGAGCGAACAGAGAGATGGGATCCATGATTGGTTGCATGATCCAGATGTAGACCCCCTCAAGTAGAAACGAAGGAGTCCCACTATATGTGTGATTTGGTGAATATCTTGCACTTCATTCCTCTCAAGAACAAATTCATCTCCTCCAACTCTCTTGTTCTTCCCGTTGGTTTCAGAGTTTGGTTTCTTGGTGGTGTTGAATGAAGAATTTCTCTAACTTACACAACTGTTGCTTCGTATACCTTTTTGTTAAATCCCCCTTTTGATTTTGTTCGATCTTGCCATGATTTTGAGTATGATCTTTCGACGCCATTTACTCTGCTGAAAGTGTCGTCGTCGTCTTTGTTGGATCCTCCATAGCGGTGGATGAACCCCATAATTTCCATCTCCATCGTCTTGGTTTCTTCCCCTCTTTCTTCTCGCTATTGTCTTTGAACCCTAATTCAAATGTCTCTGAGCAATCATCTCTTAAGGAATTTGAATATGAATCCCTTGCTAATTCTCACTCACTGCTGATGCTTGGAAATCTTTTTAAGGCGCCATGACCATTTTCCGTATGGAGTTACACCTGTCGAGGCTTTTCCTACGCTTGGAGGAAGAATCGGAGTAATATTCTTTGAGAGCGATTCGATTCAGGATCAGTTCTTCTTCAAGCCATTGCTTTAACAGAAGCTTGTGGGTTGGAGTCATGGCGATTTCGTGAAGTGGGTAGAGAAATGTTTTTGACGATGATTCCACGATCGCTGTAGGTCTTTGCTCTTATCCGCCATTAAATCAGTTTCTAGAGAGAGAGAGAGAGAGAGAGATATGTCCCATTCTTGATTTTATTTAACATTTATAATTAAATAAAAGAAAAAAAGTATTTATGTAAATGGAAAAAACAAATTAAAAGGGCAATATAGCCTTTTCAAGATTATCAGGAACCAATTCTACAATGAAAGTAGTCCAAAAGAACTATGAAACCAAAAAAGTTACTGTTTGGACTAAAACCCCAAAAAAATGCATACCATAAGGACCATTTTTGTAATTTTTTCATATATATATATATATATATATATATATATATATATTATATATGTGTGTGTGTGTGTGTGTCGTCGTCGTTTTACAGGACCACCGAAACCACAAAGTCGTCGTTGTTAGAATCATAATTTTTTTAACCTTCTTTTCCTTTATTTTTTAACTTCGATTTTAGATGTAATCCCACAAATTTAATATATTTTTATTTTTTTTTTCCATTTTCATAAATTTAATATATTATATTTTTTCGTTAGAAGGCCATAATTTTTTTTTTTCATTTCAATAAACCTATTATCATTAGTTAAAACCGATTAATGTTAGATTATCACCTCAAAGTTGTGTTTCAAATAAAAATTTTTACGAAACCGTATTTTATATTAATGATTAATTGTTATTAACATTATAACAATTATATGAAAATTAACCTCATCAAGTTTGTTATCCTTATCCTAAACCTACAAATTTAATACATTTTATTTTTTTTCCATTTCCGTAAACCCATCTTTTTTATAGCATAAATTTTTGATTAATTTTATTTTTTGTTAGACATAAGCCACCGTCTTTTTTTAGACTTTTTATTTCATTTTCATAAACCTAATATCATTAATTATAAAAAAAAAATATATGTTACTATCTAAAAGAAGTATAAAGTCACAATTTTTTTCTACACTTGTTTATAAAAAAATATTACTTTAAAAGAGTATGTATAAGTATAGTTTCAAAATATTACAATATAAATATTATAAAGTATAACAAAATAATTATATAAGAGAGAGCTTAAAAAAGGTGAGTAATGAATAATTATAAAAGTTAGACATGATGAGAGAGAGAGAGAGAGAGAGAGAGAGAGAGAGAGAGAGAGAGAAGAGAGAGAGAGAGAGAGAGAGAGAGAGAGAGAGAGAGAGAGAGAGAGAGAAGAGAGAGAGACGTGCGCAATTGGTGAGCAATGGGTTAGAAAAAAAGAAAAACCCGTTCGGAATCAAAAGTAAAAGTAGGTGCATGTGTCATGTGTGTAAATTAAAAACCTATATGCTTATAGCACTAGATTGGTGTTAAAAGAAAAACCCAATTAAAATTGGGTGTAAAACTTAATTGCTTTTACTGAGTTAACCCAATAGTTGATATTTATTGGCCATGAAAACAATGAAACAAGATAAT